CTCAAACGATGCAACGTTCAACACATGTTCTAAAGAGATGTGACCTTTGTAAGTAAGTTTTAATTATAATGATACATTAAAATTAAGACATATAATTAGTTTATCTTATCTCTTCACACTTAACAATTTCATACATCAAATAAGCCCACGGGCCTATTTCATTCAATAAGCACTGTTTATAAAGTCTTAAGTTTATTTCAACCACAGAACAAGGTGTTGTTTAAATTGTCTCAAATAAAAATCCTGTTAATGGCTGTAAAGTTTATGAAATTAGTTTACCACACAAGTATCAAATTCAGAGCAACATTCCTTCACTATTTATTGCTATAAACGCTTTAGAACTTTGAAAGAATAATTTGGTACGTCCATTCATTTCAAAATTAAAAATAAGAGATTATTAAACTGAGGCCAGCGTGCTTAGAGTTTTTAATAACCAACCTAACATTTTCTTTTTTAATTTTTAAATATTAAGACAGGGCCTGATGGTGTAGACTGGAGTCACAAGGTGAAGGAACTTTCAGGTTATATGAAAGACGAAATTATTCACCAGCTGAGCTTTACAACGTCTACGCTCCTTGGACTTGCTAAATCTTTTGAAACGTGAAGGACCGTTTCACACACACACTGTGAAACTATTATTTTTCTCCCTTGTTTACAACACATAGAACAATATATATAAACACACCAATTTATCAATAACATTAATAATAAATCATTATCATAAAAGTGTTTTTTCCGACTTACGTAGTATTCTTATACTGAGAACATTTATAGTTCCAAGCACAGAACACAAAATTTGAGACACTTTACAGATTATACTGACTCTGAAGCGTCTATAATAACATCTGACCATGTTGCAACTCATTGGATCACATGACAAAGACAAATACAAACATCCTAATTAGAACCAGCTGTCTCCTACCATTACACAGATTTTTAACTGAGGCGCAGAATGAGAGTGGATGATATTAAGTTTCACTGGCGAATAAAACTGGTGACATTTCAAGATCGACAACTTGACAGATTTATCAAGCGTGAATCAAAACGACACAAGTAGACATTTCTCTTTAGAAATGTTCTTACATGAATAGGTGTTTGCCCATCTTGCATTAAAAGAATTGTATGATACATCCATTAGCTTGGTTGACGACTAAAACCTGCTAAGAAAAGTATTTGGATGTATTTTATAATCTTTTTCTACGTAAGATGGTGTGTGCAGCTTATGGGGTTGTCTTCTTGATTGAACTGGAAATGAAGGGATATGATTTTTTTAGATAAAATATGTCGGAGGGACAGAATATACAAGAAAGTTTAAGGGCGAATTTCCTGTATTAGGAGCATTATGATTGAATTAA